AAAGTAAACAACAACTTATTATCTGAATTACAAATGTTTACTTTTGCACAAGAAATACATTTTCCTACAAAAATAATATGCAAATCAGCTACATACCGTTCCCAATCACTAAATAAAAAGAAAAGAGATGCCATTGAAGTCGGTGCTGCAAAATGTCTTAATAGACGGCATTAACACCTCCTCAAAGAGATATAAAATTCATCTAATATTTATCTATTAAATCTAAGTCGATCCAAATCTACAAAAACCATAGATATGGGTTGGCTAAGAGGGACAGAGTAACACTTTGTTCAACTCGGCTCGTGGAGTTTGACTGCTTGCTAAGAGGGATTGTCTTAGCTCCCTTTATAAGGTTAGATGGCGCTTGAATTCTTGCTGAGCGTCTTATCTGCTATAATAGTGTCCAAGCCTAGTTATCAGACTGCAACAATTGTTATGAGTAAGGCAAACTTATGAGTGCATGCCAATAGTTCAAAAAAGTTCAAATAGCTCAATCGATAACTCAATAACAAAGTCACTGACATGTGTCTTAGATGGAACACTGCAGATACTTATGTATGTTATGTGGAGCTGATTATCTGGTATAGACTATTGGACATACCTAAGGTCTACATACTAATATCTAGACTTACTGATTAAATAAATAATACTAAATATTACTAATATATAAATAGTAAATATTAAATAGTTATAACTTTTGTTAACTTTCACATTTTAAAGACGAGATTAATATACACTGACACTTGCTGATAGTGCGGAATATAAAATAAAACAGAAATCCATCAAATCGGTATATGACTTTTAAAACCAATTAATAATAATAATATTGAATAACTTTTCTAGTTCCGGACACTTGTAGATTCTATTATTGAGTAAATATTGAGTAAACTTTAAATCCATATAAATAATATTTTCGTATTACACGATTCTTAACAAATGGTTCTATTACCAATTCCTGAGTTTCGTTGTACCAAATGAAGTTCGAACTTTCTAAAAAAGGCAAATGCATCCTTTATTGAATAATAAAGTACTACTTTTATACTATTTTTAATCGACGCAACAGTGCTTAGAGACTTTCTCTAAACCCAAAAGGGAGCATAATAGACCATGCATAGGTTCTTTAGTAGTTCTTTTGTTAAAAGTTTAACGGTTTTTTTTTATATACGAGTAGTGAATAACTTTTTTATTATTATTTAATTAACATCAATTTAGGTCATATTTATCTGTTCATGACAGACTTTTATTAGGCACTGTTGATTTTCCCTAAGGTTGAATTAGAAGTAACAATTAGCCCAGATTTGGCATTAAGTGCCATAACAAAACATTCGTAAATAGTGCACACAGACTTCCATATGTAGATATTACTTATTTGTCTAGTAGTGAGCAGATTAAGCATAATTTGTAAGGTTTATTTCACAACAAATTAAATTAAATTTTGGGTGTCATATGGTAATGAGTAGCCAACATTTATTTACATTATACCTAGTTGTGAACAGAAAATAGGACCATGATTTGTCCTTTGTAAACATATTCATTACGCATACAGAAATTAAAAATTTTTTTTAGAAATATATAGGACATTTCGCAAATTAAAATTAATCTTTATTTAAAGGAACTAGCAGATCAAAACCAATCCTGCCGACCTTTTCAGAAATAATTTCTATTTGGCGGAAGACATAAGGCGAATAGCGTAGCTTGTCGTTGGCTTGACAAATGATGACTTCAAATCAACATGACCAATTTTCGAAGTAATCAATCACTTTCGGTAAGAAGCGAACAACTGAAAAATGGATTCGTCAATGATGAATGAAGTAAAATGAATGTGGGAAGATAAGGAAAGTTTTCTGAAAGGATTTTTTTCAAAGGATATTTTTATTTTTAAATTAAGAATATTTAAAAATTAATGAAAGCTAATATAAGAATATTTATAACAATAAAGTGTCTGGATTTTTTTTTTTCGTTAATATTCACATATACATAATACACATATTTATGTGTATATATACACATAAATTTATTAATGAATTCATTAAAATATATAAAATAAAACACGTTTACACACATAAAGTTTACCAATGCCGCAGACAACTATTCTCACATATAAATGTATATAGTATTATTGATGTAAGCATATTTGGTTTAGTTAAAATAATATTTTTATTCAGTTTTCACGATGCCGTCATTAAAATTTATAAATAATTTACAGACTAAGCCCAAATATATTGAAACGTATATTTAGTTTCACGAAATCTGCTGAAAAAATTTTCCATATTATTTTGATATGCGGATATTGATATTAAAATGGTGACAATAACACCTATGCAAACATCGAAATTTGCTCAGTGAATCCCAAATTAAATTTCAATAGCAAATACATATCAAACATATCAAATAATTCAATATCTTGAATTTTCATATAAATAAATCCGTCCGCAGAACTGAAGTCATCATACTTCAAGTACCCAAGCATTGATTAAGTACAGCTTAACTATGAAATTCAATTTGCTCGCACTTTTCGCCGTTGTGGCTTTATTTGCTGTATCTGTATATGGCCAATCTATAAGCAGTTCTGAAGATGAAAACTCCACAACTGTAGCCTCTACTGATTCCTCAACTGTTGCATCAACTGACGACTCTACCACTGTTGTGGCTTCTACTACAGCACCAACGGTTTCTGAGAGCACCACTGTTGGATCAAGTAACAGCAGCACCAGCAGACCCAGTCGCCGTCCTGGAAGGCCAGGTAGGCCAGGTAGACCTGGAAGACCCGGTAGAGGTGACAGACCCGGTAGAGGTGGTAAACCAGGACGTGGTGGAAGACAAAATCAAAACCGTAGACGTGGAGCAGACAATAAGAAGGGTCGCCAACAAAATAATCAACGGTCAAGAAGAGGTTGATTTGCAGAGTTCGAAAAGAAAAATATTTAAAAATTTAATTTATTTATTTAATAAAAATAAAAATGATCAGAGAACAATAATTCGAAAATATTTATTTGTGTTAATCTGGAAAGACATTACACGCTCGGAAAAAACAAGCTTAAATAAAATTTTATCGATGTTGGCCTATTAGCACCGCCACGAGTCTTGCCACTGCAATACCAGCTCTGTCTAGTATTTTTGCTCTGAATAAACTATTCTTTGTTGATATTAGTTTAGTTTGATTTCATCGCATGGTTACATGGTATGGTTACCAATGATTATAGATTCGTTTTTATTGAGTAATTACCTCTCGTTTTATTCGTCGGGGTCGTGGAACTCAGGTGAATGATAATGTTCACTGATCAATCACTGATATCAGCTGAGTTTTGTACTGTTTCATTGACTTTGATTTTGCATTTAGTTTGGACACTAGACGAATAGCAGCCTTACTGGTGGAGAAAATTGTAATCTGTTAAATATGCAGATTTATTTCTATAATCAAATGAACTACTTATTTACAAAGATTTTGGCATAGAATGCGCTGTATAAGCTGATAATAAAAAACGATCTGTTTATACAATCATGAGTTAAAAACATTTCTGCACCCGCAGTCATTTTTCGCCTCTGTATTCGGATATACATAAATGTAATATGAATTAATGATTTGGATTCATTATCGGAATATAAATAATGTATGCCCAGCTATATAATAGGATACGCAGAATACAGTTATGCCTTTTCCGTTTGGATTTTCACTCTCATGCAATCTAATCGCCGACATTGCGGTATTATCATTAATTTGTAATTTGATAGAGACCAAGTATTCCATAGGCTTATGGGGCGATCACCACCAAATTAGTGAGGTGTAACTAAATATTAAGTGTATTTCTGCACTATAAATCTATTAAACAAATTTAGAATGAAAGTCCAAGTTTCTTCCATCCATCCTTTTACATGAATAAAAAGCTATGTAGATTTAATTTATCCGTTTTTCAACATTTGCTTTCCAATTCAATTTAAATTCCGGCATAAAACCTTTATATCTTTCTACACAAAATAGCTTCAGCTATTGACCATTTAACTTTAACAATTAAATTTTTTTTAGTATATAACAATAGCTTAGTTTTTTATAAGTTTATTAAACATCATTATTATAGATCTCGGTTCACACGCTAAATTTAACCAGTACTTCTCGATGATCTTACTCATTACGTGTGGGAATTATATTAATAATACCTCACCATCTGCTAATGCTACTAACTTGCATTCGCTGCAAGTAAGGTTAGAGAATTTCTTCTTATATATTGCCTCTCTGTTAACGTGTATCCCGATCCTACTGTTCTCTACGGTGAGCTTATTACGTAGCATAGAAATGACCAATGAGCTAAGACGATATTTAAAACCATTATATGGAAGGAGTTCAGTGTGACATTATGAAGCACACCTTTAATATCTAAGAATGCGGTTGGAGTGTGTCACCTGAACTTTTCATGCGGTAAGCATGCTGAGCCTTGGGTATGCTTTAACCCTTTGAAAACACATGAAATACACCTCTTTCAAATACTTAATGACAAAAAAAGATAAGCTCATTGGTTTGTAGTATCTGGATATACTCTGCCCGTTCAGAAATAGTAAATATTCTATTTTTACGATGTATGCAGCTTCTATGAGTTGTTCCATTTATAGTTTAGCTACCAATGTCATCTCGAAATCATCACAGGTTTAAGCAAGATAAAGACTTATATATATTGTGAGTAGAAACAAAAGCTTACATCGAGATTTACATATTGAGAAATAAACATAAAGCTTAATTCATTTTTTTGAACGAAATGTCAAATCAGAATTGGATATTAGGCTGTTGTTAATAATAGAGACAAATACTGAATTTTTATGAAAATTGTAAAAAAGTTGTTATTAAGAAACCATCCATTCTATTGAATAAGTATATCAGACCACAACTATAACATAGTTCGCTTAAAGTCCTTAAGAAAAAACAGAAACCCAGAATTTTTGGTCGGTTTTATTAAAACAATATTGTATTTATCTGGTTCAATGTAGAGGTAGCTGCTTGCTTAGTTTCTTTAATCAGCTATCGAATTTTTAAGCTTTTTAGTGTCACAATGCGTATATTTATTAGAACCTAATTGAGTCTGTTATTCATCAGAAAGAATATTACATGCATCTATCTATCTTTTATTAGTGATCTGTCCTTAGAAATATAATGAATTTTGTGATTATGAAGAATAAAAACGTTAATGGAAACCCATTGAAAGCAAAGCTTGACAGTGTGAATGAGCACACACAGG